AAACCTAAACCCCTAAACCCTCAAACCCCTAAACCCTTAAACTCCTAAACCCTCAAACCCTAAACCCTAAACCCTAAACCCTAAAACCCAAAACAAGCCAACTTGGTAACTCGAACTAAACCTTGCACCCTAAACCCTAAAAGAAAAACCTTAAATCCTAAACCCTAGATCCCTAAACCCTGAATCCCTAAACCCTCAACCCTACACCCTTAAACCCTTAACCCCTACACCCCGAAACCCTCAACCCTAAAACCTAAACCCCTAAACCCTCAAACCCCTAAACCCTTAAACTCCTAAACCCTCAAACCCTAAACCCTAAATCCCTCAACCCTAAACCCTCAACACCCAAAGCCCCCAAGAGCCGAGCCCTCGGATGTCGAAGTTCCAGACGGTCAAGGGGTACATGTAGAGCCGAAGCAGACTCCTTGGGGACTGTAGGTAGGTTTGGGGTTTAGGGTTTAGGGTTTAGGGTTTAGGGTTTAGGGGGTTTCGGCTTTAGGGGTTTAGGGCTTAGGGTTTAGGGATTCGGGCTTAGAGGTTTAGGGGTTCGGGCTTCGGGCTTTGGGTTTAGGGATTGGGGCTTGGGGGTTTGGGGGTTTGGGGGTTTGGGGGTTTGGGGGTTTAGGGTTTGGGGTTTAGGGCTTAGGGTTTAGTGGTTTAAGGTTTAGGGCTTGGGGTTTAGCTCCCTGGGCTTCCAAGAGCTTTAAGGTTTTAGGGCTTCAGGGCTTTGAGGGCTTTAGGGTTGTAGCATTTAGGGCTTTAGGGTTTAGGGTGCCCAACCACCATCCTTGTCAACTCTTACAATTTCGAGGAGGTTACGGCGTGCTTGAGTTTCAGACTAGAAATCCGACATGAGAATGTAAACCCTGGAATGTACTATGGGTAGTTGTCTAAATTAGGGTCCCTTTTTAGGTCTTTTTATAAGGGTGCCGTACTATATTAGGGACCTAAAAAGGGACCCTAATTTACAGAACTACCCATATATACTTCGTTGGGGTGGCCCTGTCCTAACCATATATCAGGTCAGCACGAATCAAACGCTGCAGTCCAGTGTCAAGATAGGAATCACATTTTAGTTAGGGCTCCAGGGTTCAGGGCTTGAGGGTTCTGACGACAGAGGCCACAGAACTTGAGAGAAGTATAGCAATAAGTAGTGCTAGGGGTTTAGGGATGCATGCTCGTTGGGCTTGCAAACGGCTTTTGGGCGTTTTTTCGGGTCGGGTCTCTGTTCTGGCTTTAGGGGTTCCGGTTTAGGGCTTCTGGCTTGGACTCGAAAGGTTTAGGGCATTTGTCATTGGCGCTGAGGAATTTCGGAGCGCAAAGCCTTGGCAGGTTAGGGTCCAGGATCAGGGTGCTGTAGAAGCCTTTTAAACCCCCTCGACATGCAGTAGCAGCTTATGACCTCGATCCGTGAAGTAGAAGACACCACAGTCAACCCTAAATTTCACCAGACCCTCAACCCGAAACCCTAAACCCGAAACCCTAAACTAAACCCGAAACCC